GATGATCACAATCAGAGGGATGTCCCACTGCAAAGCCTTTCCTTCCCAGGAGCTGGGCTTGGCTAAGTCCTGGATACTGGATGGAGCAGTGGCAGTCACCAGAAAGTTTACTGTGGCAGTTGCAGCCAGAGGGGGTCTGCCATTGTCTGTCACAGTGAGGATGACCTTGAACAGCTGTCCCAGCTCTTCAGAGAGGTCGCCCCTCAGCACAATGTCCCCGGTAGTTGGGTTGATGGTGAAAAGTTCCTGCTCAGACTCTTCCAGGAAGGCAAAGGTGAGCTCGGCATTGGCTCCATCATCTGCATCTCGAGCTTTGATCTGGGCCACCAGGGAGTCACGGGAGGTCTTGCTGGACACACTGATTTCCACCGTCCCATTAGTGAGCACTGGGTGGATGATGACAGGAGGGTTGTCATTCTGGTCCACCATCCTCACTTTGACAAGGGTGCTGCTGGAGAGTTGTGGGGATCCACCGTCAGTGGCCTGGATCCTCAGGTCCAACTGTTTAAGGATCTCATAGTTGAATGTCCTGAGGGCATAGATGGCCCCAGTGGCGGGGTCCACCGAGACGTAGGTGGAGATGGGGGCCCCCATGACTTGTGTTTCCAGAAGCCGGTAGGTGACCTTACCGTTGTGGCCAAGATCTGGGTCACGAGCCACCACTGTAGTGATATAGGCACCTGGGGGGTTGTTCTCTGGTACGGCCACCTCGTAGAGGGGCTTGGCAAAGAGCGGCGCATTGTCATTCTCGTCGCTCACCCGCACTGTGTACTGGCGGACAGTCTTGAAGGGTGGTGAGCCCAAGTCCTCAGCCACCACAGTGAGATTGTATTCAGGGATGCGCTCGCGGTCCAGTGCTGCTGTGGTGACAATCATGTAGCTGTCCTCATAGGCACGCTGCAGGGCGAAGTGGTCGTGGCCGCGGAGGCTGCAGCGCACCTGCCCATTGGTGCCTGAGTCGCGGTCTGAGGCGCTGACGAGGGCCACAAAGCTCTCACTGGCTGCCGCCTCGCTGACGTAGGCCACGCCAGCGGCGCTGGCAGCGCCACGGAGGGCACTGATGCTGATGCGCGGTGCGTTGTCATTGACATCAGTGAGGCGCACGATGACGGTGCAGGTGGCAGCGCGAGGGCTTGCACCACGGTCCTGGGCACGCACGTCCAGCTCATAGGTGCGGGTGCGCTCGTAGTCCACGGTGGCCTCCAGTGTGAGCCGGCCTGAGCGTGGGTCGAGACGGAAGAGCCGCCGCGCCTCAGGGGGTACCTGGCTGCTGAATGCATAGACCACCTCACCATTGGGGCCCTCATCAGGGTCAGCAGCATCCAGATCGAGCAGCAGGGAGCCGGGCGGTGCATCCTCGGGCAGCTCCACTGTGACTGAGCTCTGGGCAAAAGTTGGACTGTTGTCATTGGCATCAAGGACACGGACGTGCACGGTGGCTGTGCCCGAGCGCGCTGGACTGCCACCATCCTTGGCCACCAGCTCCAGGGTGTAGGAGGGCTGGCGCTCACGGTCCAGCTCCTGGAGCAGCACCAGGTCTGCACAGCGTGCCCCATCTGCCCGCGTCTGCGCCTCCACACCGAAGTGGCTGTTGAGGGAGACCTGGAAGCTCTGGATGGAGTTGGAGCCTACGTCCTCATCTACAGCCACCTCCAGCGGGAGGCGAGTGCCAGGTGTGGCACTCTCCGACACCTCCAGTGCCATCTGGGCGTGGGGGAAGCGTGGTGAGTTGTCATTGATGTCACGCACCTCCAGCTCCACGTGCACCAGGCGGTAGCGCTCCCGCCAGCAGCTCACCACGTCGAAGGCCAGGACACACTGGGGGGCCTGCCCGCACAGTCGCTCCCGGTCCAGCCCTGCTTCACCGATGCTCAGCTGTCCGTCCTCCTCCCGCACCCGCACCAGCGACGTGTTGCTGAACTGCCTCATCATGCGAAAGCTCATCTCCCCCGGCGCCTTCACGGGCATCTCGTCGGCCAGCGTACCGATCACCGTGCCCGGCGCGCCCTCCTCGTCGGTGCGGTACCTCACCGTCTTGCAGCGGGACAGGGCGAGCAGGCAGGCGGCGGCCAGCAGCCGCAGGGGGCTCATGTCAGCGGCGCAGGGCTCAGCCCGACGGCGCGGCGCGGACGGGGACGGCGCTGTGCAGTATCGGGGGCGCAGCGTTGCGCAGCACCGAGACCGCTCCGCCGCCGTCTGCGCCCCCCGCGCCGCCGCGCGGCCTTTCATAGACGGCGCTATGCAAATGAGCGGGCGGCGGAGCCAATGGGAGGCGGCGCCGCGCGGGCGGCGGGCGGCCCCCGGCGGTGCCCGGGCCGGGCGGGAGCGGGCGCGGAGCGCGCGCCTTTGTTTTCCTTAACTCTCCGGGGTCCGGGGGCTTCCCTTTCTCTTTTTTTTTTTTTTTTCTTTCTTCCCCCCCTTCCCCCCCCCCCCCGTTTTTATTCCTCCTTTTCTCTCTATTTATTTCTTCTTTTTTTCCCCCCCTCCTTCCATTCTCGCCCCCCTCCCCGTCTCTGCGCTCTCTCCGGGCGCGCGGCAGCGGCGCTGGCGCGGGGAGCGCGGCGTACAGTGCGCGGTGGGGTTTGTCAGTCCTGCCACAGGTCGGAAAGGTGCCGGGGCATGCAGCGTCATGCCGTGTCGTGGCATGTCGCGCCGTGTCGTGGCATGTCGCGGCGTGCCCTGCGGGCGCGGGCGGCGGTGCGGGGCGGGCGCGCATTAGCGGGGTGCGGGGGGTGGCGGTGGCCGCATTCAGCTGCGCGCCCGGAGTGGCGTGTCACTCGCGTGAGAGCCTGTGATCAGCGCCGTAAGTCGCCTTTCAGGAGGTGTCCCCGCATGCTTTAGTATGCATGTCACCGCCCGGGTTTCTTAAGCCTGGGGCACTAGCAGGCGAGGAGGAAAAAAAGGAAAAAAAAAAAAGTTCCAAATAGGATTTAGCATAAGCTTGAGGAGATTTGGAAAGGTTTCAAAGATCAGGCTGTATCAAAGGCTTATGAAGCCCTCGTTAGCTGCAGAAATATAATAGCATGGCAGGCTATCCCATTCGAGGAACCAATGTCTGTATTATTTCACTATGACAGGCTAAAGGGAGAGAAAGTTGAACAGTTTCCACAGAGGAGTTGGACTAAGTTGAATATAATGAGCAAACGCCACATGTATCCATTATGTCCGTCTATTCATTCCCAATCACTGCCATAACTCTTTGACTAAACGATGATGAGCGCTGAATTACACACAATGCCCTGCTCATATTAAAATACATTTAAGACCTATCCCTCCTGGTGCCCTGTTACGCCTATTCACAGGATTTTCTTTTTGTCCTAATAGGGCCTCTCTGGGAAGCAACACCAGTCTCGTTCCAGAAGAACAAAATAACAGCATGAGGCTGAAACCTGGCACGAACCGGGGGGAACGAAACCATCTGCCCCGCAAGGCACCGAGGCCCTGCTTGGAGCCGGGCGCAGGCTCCCAGCGCCGCAGTGCCTCGGCGGCCATGAGGAGGGCTGTGCTGGCCTTGGCCCGCAGGGAGGAGACCCTAAGCGAAGGATGATAGGGATCCTGAAGGACAACTGCCTTCCTTCCTCTCCTTCTCCTTCCTTCCTTTCTTCCTCTCTCTCCTCCTCTCTCCTTTCCCTTCCCTTCCCTTCCCTTCCCTTCCCTTCCCTTCCCTTCCCTTCCCTTCCCTTCCCTCCTCCCATGTCTCAGGGAACTCAAGACATGCGTTTTACAGGGAGAGGGTGGAAAACAGAACGGAGCCGTGTCCAGGGGTGTCCCGGGGGCGTCCTGGGGCTGCGCGGGGCGGCACGCGAGCGGGGGGCTGCGGGCTGCCCGCAGCACCGGCTTATGGAAATGGGATTTAAATCGCTCCTCAGCCCTGGCTGCGGGGGCGCGGGGAGGGGGGGGGGCACGCTCCGCCGCCAACAAAAGCTCCCCGAACGCCCGGTTTCCATACGAAAAAGCTCCGCGGAGCTCCTTTCTCCTGCCCGCGGGAGCTCCGCAGGCGGTCACCCGGCGGGGCGGGGAGAGGCCGGGCCGGGCTGCCCTTAGCAGGATCGTGGTCCGGACCGGGCCGTGGTCCGAGGTGTAGAGGCCGGGGCCGAGCTGCCTGGGAACTGGGCCGCCGGCCGGGAGAGAGGAGTGGGCAGCGGGGCGGCCCCTCGTGTGTAACAGGATTATCTTTGCCATTTCAAGTTCCATACAGCATGTAATTTATTTTTAATTAGGATTAGATCGAGCAGGGAAGGAGACCAGACCTTTCTGCCCACCCTCTACCTCCCCCTCCCCGCAAAGGCACGGCTATTCCACGAGGAGCTCTTATTCTTTACAAAAAAGCCAATCAATCGATAAACCAGGACCTGTGTTCACCTCCCATGCACTCTGCAGGAGTAGAGGGTGCAAGGGGCTGTATTTTCAATGTGTGCTCAAGTATTTGAATCAGAAAGAGACTTGGAAATCCTTCCCCTTTCCCATCTACCTGGTCCCCATCTCAAAAGCTTACAATCCAAACCCATTCTTAAGAGCGTCCCAGTGGGGTCTTGCTTCTCACTCCTTTTTCAATTTTTTTTCTTTTTTAGAGGCCAAATGCACTTTCTGCCTGCTTGAGTTATTCTCTTTCCACTGTCGTGACTTTGATTTTAAAAAAGCCCTGACATATCAGTGTCTCTGCTGGAGCAAAGCCTTCTCCCCAATAGTTTGGATAGAGTCCATCACAGAAACGTTCTGAAAGGCTAGTGAAGAATCCTGTTTTACAGCTCAAAATAAACATACGGATCAGCTGCATTAAAAGCACTTCTTTGAAATATTGTGGTTAAACAGCCCAGATTGGTTGATTGCTCCATGCGGGGACATATGTTCTTGCAAACTGTGCGTATTGTTACTAATGGGGATTCTCACACCACAGCCTTTCGTTTTAATCTGAGGCACTGGTGGTTTCTCTGGAGCTGTTGCAAGGCTGTTTTAATAATTTACCAGCTCTCTTGCACTTAGTGTTGTTGCAGAGACTCAGAGCATGCAAAGAAGGAGGTGTTTTGTGGTGTCCAGAGGTCTGATCTCTGCTACCAAGCTCCTTTCCATACCTCTTAGACACAGAAATCAAAGCTGCTCTGAGAGATGGGTATCAGGCAAAGGAAAAAGCAAAGCTCCCCCACTCACCCCTGTGAACCTGGGTTCCTGGTTAATGTGTTGCTCCCAAGGAGTAGGAGCACTCCTACACCACCAGCCTGATGTCAACAGCAATCAAGTCAATGATCACCAGCAAATCACTCCAGGTTCTCTTTTTTAAACTTACCTTTTTTTCCTCCTGATTCTGATTCAGCCCTTAGAAATAAAGTCTGTGAGTGCTTTACCCTCTCCCCAGGTAGTTGCTGCCTTAGGTGGAGCAACGAAACCCCAGGATCTCATCCTCTTCTTCACTCCTCCAGCTGAGCACTGACACTGCTGTGGCCCTTTTCACCATCACCTACAACACAGTAGGTTTGCATATGTGTATCAAGGTGTCAGTGTCCCCAGCACAACAGGGTAAGACTTTCCTTCTCTTAGCAGATGTCTTGGATTCTGTCCAGTGATCTTCGTTGATGGAGATAAGCTAGAAGGTGTTAAGTTTTGGTGGTGTGAGAGAAGGTAAGAGCCCCAAAGAATTCCAGTTCAGTACATCAGGACCACATATACCTTGAGGGAGAATGTGCAGCTTCATGCAAGCATGGGGTGGTGGAAGCAAGCCAGGCTTAAGGAGAGGTGGCTGTGTTATATGTGCTTCCCTGTTCCCAGAAGATCTTAGGGGCACCAAGCTTTGGCTATTGAAAGTTCCCCTCTCTCTTTGACCCTCTCAACATGGGCTGCTTGGTGACTGCATGCCTTCGGAGTGATGTGGTGGGATCCCCTTGTAGCACAAGCCCTAGGATGGTATGACTTTGCTGTGCCTCTCAGAAGAAGTCAGAATATCTGGGCATGGTGTCCTGCTGGTCCTGCTCACCAACATACTTAGAGGGTCTTTTTGACTTCTCTCCAGATGTGAAGTTGAGATGAAGCATGTCACTCCATCCCTTGTCTCTGAGCCTGTGGAGTAGTGGCAGAGACTTCCCTCCCTGGAAAATCCTCTCCATGCTCAGCCCCTTCCTCTTTCTTCTTGGGCACCCCCACGGGCTTGGCTGCCTTGGAGTGATCTACAAAAACAAAGGAATTCCTTCTGCTTCACGGCCTAAACAATCCCCCCTGTTTAATCATTTCTACTGAAACCAAGGAAGTGCGGGTTAACCTGTCAAGCTCCACAAGCCTGGGCTGACCAAAACCCCTGGAAAACAAAAGAGTGGAACAAAGTGACAAAGGGTTTTGTTGCTCTATGACTGTTTGTGTTGGAGGGTAGCATGAAGCATTGTGCTTCTGTCTCTGGCCACGTGGGCATATAGGAGACAGAGGCTGCAAACCTTCCCATGAGCTGTGGGTTGGTACTGGGGTTATAAATCATTCTGATCATTTGTTTATTTGCTGCAAATGCTTCCCTGCCTGCACCTCCCCTCTCTGAAATGTGGGTTGGAAGAAAGAGTTTGTTTTGCAGAAGAAAGAAATCGTGTGCCCGTACCCCCCACCTGGCAAGCAGTTTTGATTCCACAGGGAATTTATTTTTTAATTGGATTAATTTCTAGCCTCTCCCAGAGTAGCAGCTGGGATCTTTGATTCAAGAGGTTAAAACAAAGGGGCATGAAACAAAAGACCAGTTCTTCACATTCCCCACACAGCGTGTGCCTCATGGGCCTCCTGCGAGCTGCCTGGAGGTATCCCTTCAGCAGTGCATTCCTAAAGGTCTCCCTATGTCGCCCTCGGTCAGGGTCTAGTGCGTGTTGTTTTGGGGTGCTTCATAGTCTGTCTTGCCTGCAAGGTATCTGAATGCGAATTTTTCCCTCCTATCCCATACAACCTTACCCCTTGGTGTCCCTCTCCTTTTCTGCTCCCCACCCCCCCCTCCTTTTCCAGGTCTCTTTACCCTCTACTTTTCTGTCCCAGAAGAGGTGAGGCTCTTCAGCTGCTAAATCAGGAGGCAGGTGCTCTCATGTTCAGTTCTCAGCTTTCTCATCTGGAGCAAGGCTGAGCCCCAACAAGGTCTGGGATATTTAGGTATCCAATTGCCATTGAATGCCATGGAAGTTGAGCATATTTTAAACTGGATGAGGGCTGAGGGTCTCTCAGAATCCACCCCTCATGTCCACAGATTGTGGGTGCATTGGACCAAGTCCTGCCGTTTTCCCACCATGATGACTATTGAGTCAGAGTTGCCCTTAGAAGTAACTACCTTTATTATGCAGGTTCTTTGTAGCTATTTTGCCTGAGTGCCTTTGGTTTTAAGGAGTGCAGGTAACAGAGTAGTTATTCATGTCAGTCTCCAATCTGGACCTTTAGAAGAAGTGCTTACCTTCTTCAGAGCTTGAGAACTGGTTAGATCACTGGGATGCACAGCTTCTCTCCCTGGCTGTTGGGAGCTGGTGCTCCCACTCTGTGGCTGCTGCTGTATGCCTGCCTGGGATGTCTTTCATAGCACTTTGAAGGTGTCCGGGCTGGTATATTTGGCTTTCCTCCAGCAGCTCCTTGTTTCCTCCTGGGTCTCATTCACAGTCTCCTCCTTGAAGGACTCTTTGGAATTTTAGACTCTTACAAATGATGAATGGCTGGAAGAAATACACCTCTCAGCTACCACGAAGAGGTACAGTCCTCTGTGAATACTTATGTGTGTTGGTTGTGATGGGCTCCACTGATTTCTCTGAGAATCAGCTCCCTTGCTATTTGGTGTGCAAAGTCCCTTTCTGCATGTCCTTCTGCTGCCCCTGGTCAGCCAGTGTCACCCACCCAGTGCCACACTAAGCACGTATTGCAGGTCACTCCTTGGGCTCTGCCTCCTTCCTGCAGTTTCCAAAGTCCTTCCAAGTAAGATTGTATCCTTATACAAACACAAGGATAGCTATATACATGCCAATATATTTTTACTGTGCCCTTAAAAATGTCCTTCCTGTTTCTCTGCTGTCTGTATATTTTGAGTCTTACTCTGTGCAGGTAATTTCTTGTCCCATCCACTGATACATCTGCAGGACAGGAGGGGACAGTGGGAAGCAATTATTGTTGAGGTCCTGGAAACTGAGAAGTTGCATTAATGTGATACCATACTGGAGCTAATTAGCCCAGTGTCACAGCGGGGTTAATAAGCTTGGGCACAGTGCCACAGCTTCTGATTCCCAGGCTGGGGGGCTTCGCAGGTTCTGGCCCTGGTATGCTCCTGGTTGTTTCCCGGACGATTACAGTGATGAAGGTGGCATGGGAGGAAAATGTGACAGTGAGGCAGGGACTCAGCCATGTGCCATGAGCCCCTTCCTCCATCTCGCCTCTCCTTCTCCCCCCTCTTCCCTCCTTGTCCTCTATCCTAATCGCGCCTCAGCTTGCAAAGTCAGGGCCCCCAGCTGTGAAGGACTAAGTCTCTTCTTCTCCCAGCCTCCCGAGTGGCAGCAGGCTGTGAGTGAGAGTGTGCCTCGTGTCACTCCTGTTGAAGAGGCAGTAAGAGCAGGGGAAGAGCCCAGACGCGGGCGGCTGCCGCAGTTGGCTGCCTGCCAGGGCAGGAGCACGCCATTCACTCCTGGGGAGCCGGCAAGCACTCCCCCTCAGCCGGCCGCCTCCAGGGCTGGAGTCTACCCAGCCTGAGGTTTTATTTTGGCATGTCAAGGAGCACCCTGCAACTGAAGGATGTGGGGGAGTGGTGATGAGTTCCATCAGGCTGCTCTCCTTCATTGTGGTTTTGGGATCATCTCCCTTTCTATTCTGCAGAAGGGCTCATAGTTAAACCTCCCTCTCTGCCTCCACCTTTGATGTGCTGGGTGACAGATTTTAGCTTCAATGGCTGCCAGCATGTTGCTGCCTGATGTACAGCAGCTCCAGGCAGGGCAGGGCAGGAAAACAGCACATAGCAGTACAGAGGAACCTGGAGAGCAAACACATCCCATTACAAGAAAGTTGGAAAGGCTTTAGATATTCATACTGAGTGAATGAGATGTAAACTTCTCAGAAGCTTGGAAACTCTGGTTCCTAAATCATTTGAGTGTTCTTGAGTGTTTCACCCAGGATTTTTGCTTTAGGGTTTTCTGCTGCTGCATTGTGCTGCATTTCATGAGTCCAGGATTAGATCAGACTGCTTTTTGAGGCCATGGGTAAACTTTTTCTTTCTTTTTTTTGTGTCCAAGTCTGCCATTCTTTGACCTTTACAGGACCTCCAGATGCACAAAACGTCCCTGTACTCATGGTCTGTCTTTTGTGCGCGGCATTTGCTCATTCTCCGCAGACGCTTCACTGAAGGGGTCTAGCTGAGGAGGCAGAATGTTGGCCCTGGGTGATGTGACCTGGGACTGGAGCTGGTGACAGAGTGGAGGGAAGTAGAGCTATTTCCCGTGGCTGAGGGATGCATCTGCACCATAGCCCTAGGTGGCATGTTTGCCCATCTTTAAAAGTTAGCCAGTCAGTTCCCAAATGTCACCTGTCCCTCCTGCACCTGTAAATGTGCATCACAGCAGGACAAGGGGGCCATCTGGAAACCACTGCAGTCTCTATGGCTACATCTACAACACTGAATAAAATGCTTCATACTCTGGTTCTGCTTAGTTTACTTCCGCAGACATAGTCTATGGTGATGGAGCCCTTTCAAAATTTGGGGGGAATTACCTGTTTGCCTTTTCAGGTTTAGCCATCTGGTGCCTTTATTTATTTAACTCACTTTAAAAAGAGGTGCTACCCTGTGTCTGTGGTTTTTGCTTCTGGAAATACAGACACCATCACATATTTCACACATTACCCCTGGGGAAAAAAAAATCATTTGCCCCCAGTGTCTGCAGAATTCAATTCTGAAAAGTTAAATAAATTGTTATCGCTTTTCAAGAGCCATAATAAATATATGGAATGATGTCACAAAAAAGCTTGAGGCTTAGAGAGTAGGTGCTAAAGAAATGCATCAAATTAGACCAAAAAAGAGGCATAAAATCTATGTTATCCCCAAAGATAAGGGCTGACGGCTCAAGCGACTTTTCTGTTTGCTGCTGTACTAAACATCAAATTCATGTTTCTGCCTAAAAGAATTTGCATCTCTGCAGTGAGCAGATCCGAAGGCTTTGTTTTGCTGGAGAGGTATGCGATGGGGCGGGAGCAGAAGAAAATGATGCAAGCCGGCATGGTTTGTAAGTGAAGGGTCACAGATGGGTGAAGCCTTGCAGAAGTTAAAACTGACAAACAAGCCTTTGGTGATGCTCCTGGAGCATCCTGAACATTTAGAACTGAAGAGGTTTGAGTTTGCCTCAGCAACATTATGTATGCATATGCATGTGTTATAATGAATATGATAATTACAGGAGATAATTTGTAATATATGTGTATTATATATGAGTGCCTCCTCAGCAGGCTAAAACAATGCCATGAGAGTGCAAAGAAATGTGAAATCTAATTACTGTAGCTGTGTAAGTGAAGTAATGAGGAGCTTGAGAGTGTGACTGATAAGCAATTAGATACTAGACTAATGAGCAAGCTGTCTACAGTACATCAAAAGAGTAAGGAAGGCTTGTGCAAGACACCTCTGGCATTGCAAAGAGGACAATATA